GGATGTTTTCCTCGGCCAACCATTAGCATACCTTGGCTAACACTTCAAAAATATCAAAAAAAATTTACAAGTGTTATTCAGTATTGCTTTTTTACCTTCATATGTTACCTTCTATCAAGACTTCACCCTTTCCAGGTTTTATCAACCTGGTTGATCACCTCGGGTAATATGTATCTCAGATACTTTATTCGTAGTTACCTTGGCTAACTCCAATTTATAAATTTCTGAGAAATTTCAACAAGTGTTAAGCCCATTCTAACTTGTAAATTTTTCCAAAAATTTCAAAAAGTCCCAAGCTCTTGCTCTCAAGTTTATTTTATCACTCTTACCTCCTGCCCTTTAATGTGAACCTAAGTTTCACTTAAGTTCACATTAAGCACATATAGCCTTTTGCCGAAGTCAGATTCGAACAAAGACTAGCCGAGGTGTTCAACCTGGGTTTCTATGTTAATCCAACTAAAATGCACTTAGTTCCATTCTGAGTTTGACTCTGCCGACATGGCAAGTCCAGGTTATTTCAACTTAGTTCAACTCTATTATATGCAAGTATAATTCAACTCTGCCATATAACGAGTCTAAGTTATTCGTTATGTTTCATTCAGAAATATCGCCAACTTAGTTCAAATCTATTATATGCAAGTATAATTCAACTCTGTCATATAATAAGTCTAAGTTATTTGTCATGTTTCATTCAGAAACATCGCCAACTTAGTTCAACTCTATTATATGCAAGTATAATTAAACTCTGCCATATAATAAGTCTAAGTTACTCGTCATGTTTTATTTAGAAACATCGCCATGGGACTGGTCAGTCTTATCACACAAATTTCAAACCAAACTAAAATTTTATTATTACTTCAGTTAATAAAATTATGACATAAACTTTTAAAAATTCAAAAAATTTAATGAAAGAAAAACTTCAAGTTACAAGTGTTCCAGGGTCTTGGCAACTCTTTTCCATTATTGTCCTTAAGCCAATATGCCCCATTGCCGGCGACCGAGATGATTTTATAAGGTCTCTTCCAATTTGGGCCTAGTTTTCTCTTCTTAGGATTTTTTTGTTGCCGACCACTTTTCTCAGCACAAGGTCCCCCATTTTGAACTATCTTGGGTTGACTTTTTTGTTGGAAGCCCTAGCAAGTTGTTGCTGGTATGCCCCCAGCCGAATTGCTGCTCTATCTTTTTTCTCCTCTAGTAGGTCTAGATCTCGGGCTAGGAATGCCTCATTGGTTCCATTTTCTACTCCCTGGGTTCTGATCCTTGGAATGTCGACTTCTAGTGGGATAACTGCTTCGGTGCCATAAGCCATGACAAATGAAGACTCCCCAGTTGATCTTCTTGGCGTAGTCCGATATGCCCATAATACATTGGGCAACTCCTCCACCCATTTTCATTTTGTTGCTTCCAGCCTTTTTTTGGTCCCATCCAAAATAGTCTTATTAGATGTTTCTGCCTGTCCATTACTCTGAGGGAAACTTGGAATAGAGTAATAGTTCTTGATTTTGTACTTTGCACAGAAACTTTTGATTAGCTTATTGTTAAACTGTGTACCATTATCTGCTATTATTGCCTTTGAGATCCCAAACCTAGTGATGATGTTCTTTCATATGAAGTTCTTCACATTAATATCTCGAATCTTCGCAAGGGGTTCAGCTTCTACCCATTTTGTGAAATAATCAGTTGCTACCAGCAGGAACTTCCTTTGCCCAGTTACTTGGGGTAGTTGTCCAACAAGATTCATGCCCCATTGGGCAAATGGCCAAGGGCTGGACATTGGGTTCAAATCTGTTGTTGGTTAATGTATCAAATGTGCGAACCTTTGACACTTTTCGTACTTTCTGACGTAGGCTTCAGCATCCTTCTGCATGTAGGGCCACCAGGACCCCTGAGTAATGGATCTGCCCTCAACATGGCTTCCACATACTCCTTCATGTATTTCATACAAGAAGTCTTCAACTTAGGAGGGATGCATACATCTCAAAAGGGGACCAGTAAAAAACCTTCTATAGAAATGTCCTTTTGCTATTAGGCTAAACCGCGCCAATTTCAGTCTGGTTTTGTGTGCCCCTTTGTGATCATTTGGTAACTTGCCGTCCCTAAGAAACATCACTATTGCATCCATCCAACTTGGACCCATCTTCACATATATTGCTTCATACTCTGTGATTAGTGGTTCTACACTTGGGCCTGACAAATAACTAACCATTATTGTCCTTGCCTCCCCTGATTTCATTGCACTAGCCAGGTTAGCCAAGGCATCGGCATGGTTGTTGTCATCTCGGCTAACCTGCTGTAGTCGACAATTCTGAAACAAGGCTAGTAGCTAACAACCTCTTTGACATAGGCTATCATTCTCTCATCTCGGGCTGCATACTCGCCTGTTGCCTGATTCACAATAAGTTGGGAGTCACAGAAGACTTCGACCTTGTCAGCTTTTATTGCTGCTGCTAACTTTAACCCTACGATTAGCGCCTTATATTCTGTTTCATTGTTTGAGGCTATGAACCCCAAACGAATAGACTGCTCTAACATTCGCCCATCTAGTGATACCAACACCACTCATGCCCCCACTCCGTGACGGTTTGAACTCCCATAACCAAACGGGCGGAAAGAGTCACCGATGTAAATATCGCATGACTTGAGTTTCTCTTCTTTCTTCTGCTCTGTTGTAGGGTTTTTATTCCCAACTGGGTCTCTTCTTGTTCCCCTGGACACCCTAAGCCGTGGCTCACCAGAGCCCGACATGGGATGGCACCAAGTGTGAACTCTGCCACAAAGTCGGCCAAAACCTGGCCTTTAATTGCTGTTCTGGGCCTAAATTCCAAGTCATATTGGCCCAATACTACTGCCCATCTGACTACCCTGCCTGTCAAATCTCCTTGCTGTAAAAGGGATTTCAAGGGATGCTCAGTCAATACCACAATCTTGTGGGCTTAGAAGTAATGATTCAGTTTTTTAGAAGCCATCACTAAGGTCAGAGTTAATTTCTCTAGGGGCAAGTACCTGGTCTCTACGCCTGCTAGGATTTTACTTACATAGTATACTGCTCTTTGTTCTCCCTTCTCTTCTCTGATTACCACTGCACTCACTGCATGCTTTGAAACCGCCAAGTATAAAACAATTCCTCTCCAGGTACTAGATTTGAGAGAACTGGAGCTGTGGTTAGGTATTTTTTCAAGTCAGCCAAGGCGACTTCGCACTCCTCTATCCACAAAAAATCTGTGGCCTTTTTTAATAAGCTGAAAAATGGTTTACACTTATCTGAACTTCTGCTTATAGACTTATTCAGGGCTGCGGCCCTTAATGTCAGCATATGTACTTGTTTTGCCGATGTTGGGCTCTTTAAGTCAAGAACGGCCCTGATTTGATCTGGGCTTGCCTCAATGCCTTTTTTGGTAACCAAGTATCCCAGGAACTTGCCAGACCCGACTCCAAATGCGTATTTCAAAGCATTGAGTCGGAGCCGATATGTCTTCAGGATGTCGAAAACCGCCTTTAAATTGGTCTAGTGATTCTCAGGCTCTTTGGTCTTTACGACCATGTCATCAATGAATACTTCCACTGTTTTGCCAATAAGATGTCTGAACATCTTGGTCACCAACCTCTGGTAGGTTGTTTTTGTATTTTTCAACCCGAAAGGCATCACTCTGTAGCAATACAGTCCTTTTGGGGTGATAAATGCAGTCTTCTCCTCATTAAGGGGGTACATTACTATCTGATAGTACCCCCTATAAGCATCTAGGAAGCTCATCCTTCTCTACCTTGAAGTGGCATCTACTAATTGATCGATCTTGGGGAGTGGGAAACTGTCTTTGGGACAAGCCTTATTCAGGTTGGTGAAATCTATGCAGACCCTCCACTTCCCATTCTTCTTTTTCACAACAACTGTGTTTGACAACCAAGTTGGGTAGTTTACCTCTCGAATGGCTTTGGCCTCCAACAATTTGTCCACTGCCTCCTCTACTACCTCTATATGAACCACCGTCGACCTCCTTGCTAGTTGAATGACAGGTTTAGCTGACCTGTCTACATTGAGCATATGGCATGTGACCTCAGAATCAATGCCAGGAATCTCGTAAGGCGTCCAGGTAAACACCTTTATGTTTGCTCGCAAGAATGTTTCTAACTCCCTTTCTTCTTCCTCGGCTAAACCTGAGCTGAGAAGGAAGAAACGCTCTTCATCACCTTGTTGGATTAGAACTTTCTTCAAGGCTTCCTCGTTTTTATCGGCCAGCTCTGTGCCAACGTCATCCAGGACCTCCATGTCCTCGTTCTCAATTTCGACCGTCTCTGTCTCTCGCACGTTGTTGGTGGATTTCATTGCTGCCATGGAATAATTCTTTGCCTGCACCTGATCCCCTCTGACCTCCTCAATTCCATGCTCTGTTGGGAACCGCAACAGCTGGTGTAGTGTTTAAGGAACATCCCTCATTGCGTGCAACCATGACCTCCCCAAGATAACATTGTAAGGGGAGGGGATGTCAATTACTGTGAACTCTGTACTTACCTTCTTGGTGCCTGCTTGCACCTCCAAATTCATTGCTCCCAAGGGCCATGTCGGTGTTCCGTTGAACCCAACCATTGGGTTGTTGGCCTGCTCTAGATCATCTCGGTGAAGGCCAAGCTCCTTGTAACATCTGACATACATAATGTCATAAGAGCTGCCTTGGTTAATCAAAATGCGTCTTACCTGGCATTCTCCAATCTTGAGGGTTAGTACTAGAGTATCGTTGTGTGGATGTTGCATCATGATTCATGTCTAGGTCGGCTTCAGTAAAAGACACTATTAGTCCCTTGTACTTGTCTATCTTAGGCCTCTTTTGCTGGACTTGATACACATGTTGTAAGTGTTTCACCCTCTGAGTCTCCCCACGTATCTCGTTCTCATTGACTCTCGAGTGAATCACATTGATCACTTGAGGTCCGTCTGCCTGCAGTTGTGGTGCTGGTGGAGGTGGTGTTGCCAGTGCTTGGGGCAACCTTACCTGTTCTTCCCTCGTTCAGGCCTTATTTACTAGGTCCTTTAAGTGACCCTGTCTGACCAGATCTTCCAAATACGCCTTTAGGGCTTTACAACCCTGCGTCAGGTATCCGTCTTCATTGTGGTAGGCACAGTGCTTCCCCAGACTTCTCCCTATAAATTCGTCAGGGATCCTTTCTGGTGCTCTGTAATACGACTGGTTCCTGATCCTTTCCAGGACTTTATAAATCGGGATCCGAAACACGGTAGTGACTGTCTGTGCAGCCCTTAGTCTTGTTTCTTGTCTATTAAAATTTGTATTACCTCGGTCTCGTTTCAGTGAGCCGTTTCTCTTCTCCTGCTTTGACGCTTTCGTTCCTGGCATGTCTTCTTTGGTTCTCGCATATTTCTCAATCCTGGCCATTAGCTCCTCCATACTTTTCATAAAAGTCTTTGCTAGTGAATTTTGAAGCATGTAGTCATCGTTCAGGCCATTCTTAAAAGATACGACCACCAACTCTTGGTTGCATCTTGGTATTCGGTTAAACACCTCATAATACATTTTGGCATAAGCCATGAGGCTTTCATCCTCGCCAATTCTCAGAGCCATTAGGAAGTTTACCCTCAACGGTTGCAGTTTGTTTGTAACAAACCTGGCCACAAACATCTTGACTAGGCCTTCTCAACTTTTCACATTTCCTTTCGACAACTTGTGAAACCAATCTGATGCGATTTCCCTAAAGGATGAGGGGAACACCTTGCAGAGCAACGGTTCGTTCCTGGTATACAGTGCCATTGAGTTCAAATATAAGTCGACGTGAAAGTTTGGATTGGACTTACCATCATATATCTGGAATCTCGGCATATGGAACCTTTTGGGGCCTCAAACCTATCTAGTTCTACAGAGAACGGCATCCTCGGCTTGACGGGAGATGTGCGGCATTCTGCCTCTTCCTCTAGAGGTAGTCCTTTAGATCCTCCTTAGTCCGACCAGGAGCTCGGCTGTTAATGGATTTCAGCTTTTTTGGTGCACTGCTCCCAGTGTTGTTATGAGTCCTCTTGGACTTCTCTTTATTCATTATGTCAAAACAAAGTTCATTCCCCTGAACATGCCGATGTTCCTTAACGTAAGTTCCCTTGGTTCAAGGCGTCCTCTAAGACTCTTCTCTTGCTGATTCTGCTCGCCCGGCGTTCCGTGAAGGCCGATATGAGCGTTCTTTTACTTTGTCATGCTGAGGAACTACTGGGATTGCTTTCTGTCCCTCTTTTTGGGCATCATTCTTGGCCGTTGGAATCGGCGTGTCCTCCAATGGAAACGGTGGCTGCATGATGTTGTTCTACATCATGAAGTTGACAACCGATTGTAGGTCTACCAACTTGTTTGCCATTCCCTTCATCTCACCATCCCTCTTCAGGCATCTATCTTTCCATACCTGGAGGTCGCTTTCGTTGTAATACCCGCCTTGACATGTTTTCTTCGGTACGTCTCCCTCTTGGCCGACGTCCTTTTCCCTAGAATTTTGATCTCGAGGTCCTTTATTACAGTTCTCCTCCTCCATATTAGGATCAGCGTTCTTGCCATTACCACCAGGGATGTCGTCCCTGACTTTCTCTTTCTGCCCGTCGTTGGCCATCTATTCTCCTTACGTTCCCACAAACGGTGCCAAATTGTGGGTGTTGATTTTTGACCACACAACCAAGCAGGAAAACTCAGCAGGAGAGCACCGGCAGAATAGATTAAGCTCGAACAACCTGGCACAGAAAGATTAGAATCCGGCAGTGGTTCATCCACCCGGGGGCACTCCGACGATCAAGTCAGTAATTATCTCTCAAAGATAGCCAATAATGCTTAACTCACTAGACAAAGCATAAAAAACATACCTTAGACCCGCGAGAGTGCCTTACCTTTATAGCCAACACTAACCTGATCCTTGTAGAAGCCTAGTTTCAATGGACTTTGGCTCAATGCTCATCTTAGACTCGCAGTTAGACAGAGATAAACTCTCTAAGAGTTTTATCTTTATCCAGACTAAGGTCCTCCCCCATTCTAGGACTCTTGTCATTTATCCGCTCATCTCAGATTCTGATATCTCCGAAGATAACTTCGACCTAGCCGAGATCATCTCGGTAAGTGACCAAGCCACGGGGCACCTCGACTGACACGTCGACGTCACCTTGGCCACGTGTTGTCATTCACAAAATATGTCCCCACAATAAATAAATTAAAACTTTCAACTTCAATTATCGTACAACATTTGTGTTTATATAATAATAGAAATAAGGATAAATAATAGATAGATTAAAATTAATTATAAATATAGCTATATTTAAAAGGACATGGTTTTGATAAATTATATTTTAAATTTTCCATATAAAAAGATTTAAAATTTTAAATTACATATTTTTTTTTTTAAAAAAAACATATGAACTCATAGTGGAATAGAGAGAGAAGTACCATAAAGGAAGAGAGGAGCTGCACATATCAAACATGAATAAATAAAATAATTAACTAAAACCTTTAATAATTTTGAAAAAATAAATTAAAAATAATATTTTCTTTTTTTAGTTTTGAAAAATTATTAGTATATGCTTTTGAAGTAAATCTCATAAAATAGATTTGTTACGTTGGGCTTGTAACATAAATTTAATTATTTAGTCATTATGGTAACCCACATGATATGGTAATATGAATCATAGATTTAATAAGATTATAGTTTCATATCTTGAACCACAAGTTATTATCTGATTGGTCAATAGATTGAGTAGTTTCCAAATCTCCTACTTTGATGGGCAAGTGGAGTTATAGTTATATTAGGACCTCAAATCTCCTACTTTGATGGGCAAGTAGAGTTATAGTTATATTAGGAAACTGGTACTCTCTCTACCTATAAAAGTATATTTCGATCACCCATCAATAATTCTGAATATAACGTATTCTAAAGAGGGTCAAGAGAGAGAATTTTTTTTCCACTAATATTGATATTAGTTTTACGTTCAATCAATTATGGATCACTTGAAGGTTTCACATATCTGATTCGGATATGTTATTTACTTTCTGCATTATGTTATTATTTGTGAAAATTATGATAGTTTACGATTTTGGTTTATGAAGGTTGTTATATCTTAACACCATAAAATTATTTACATGTGGTATCAGAGCTCATGTTTCAGAACATTATGATTTTTCGATAAGTAAATATCAATTAATTTTGATTACAATTATGATTGTCTCAATCCAAAATTTTCAATTTGCTAAACATGATATGAAATTTAATATGTAACTCTTATGTTCCTACTTTAGATTGGATTGCTTATGGTATAAATTATATTTATATAATGAGTGATAACTCTTTGATGATGATAAACCGAATGTTTTAATATTTTGATAATTGAACACTATGAATGATTTAATTATCTTTATTTTGAGGAAATGTTTAGTGGATAATGATCATTGTATTGTTTGATTTAGTAATGCCTACAGATATTTGTATTGCATAATGAATCATTATTATTCATGTTTTGCTGAATTTTATATTATTAAATTTTTGTATGAGAAAACATATTAAAATTTTATTGGGATCTTTATAGTACCAAGCATATTGCTATTTAAAGATCTAATTGTAAACTTTAAACAAATATTTTAGTATGATGTTATTACCACCATTATGCATAAGTTTGATTTTTGTAGGTGGTTTGATGAGATATAAAAGTATATATTCTTATGTGACATAGAATATGAATTGTATTAATATTTGTTTTCATATTATTCTTATGATTTAGTAATATGCATTATGATTGTAAGGATGAATAGTTGTGCATAAATTATTATTTATTCCATAATGTCTATGCAAAGTTTTTATTTTGATTTGAAATCTAAATTATGATACGATTGGTAGTTGCCAAAGTGACCCAATTAGAATGACACATAGATTTCAAATCAAATAATTGAAATTTAATACTCTTCTCAAGAATTAAAAAATAACAAAGATATTAGGTTGGCCAAAAGGTGCACCACTTCTAAGTAATTGTTGAATTGGAATATGATAGTTGATGGATATTCATAATTGATATTGGAATGATACCCAAAGATAACAGACGTACTTAATTATGAACATTTTATCAACTAATTCTATTGGTGAAATGGAATCACCATAATTGTTAAATAGTATGCCATTAAATTATCCCAAAGATAGATCACGGTGATACTATTTGTGATTGTTTAAGCATGTGTTTATCTTGACTAATTGTCAATTATTGATTACTTTTAGCATTAATGTAGTGAACATAAATTATTGATTAAAGTTTTATTTCGTTATATTTGTATACTTTGTTTGTTTCGATTTTAAATGAAAAAGATTTTTCAAAATGAATAGAATAAATTCAGTTTCATCTTCTTTTTTGTTTTTGATCAGTAGAATATTTCATTAATGAAAGCCAAAGCAGCATTTACAGGAATCCATCAAACCAAAACTTACACTGAACAAAGTAAAAATTTTGCAAGAAACACAAATGAGAGAAACTAAGAAAGTATTCAGATGCAGATCTCGTGCATGTGCTCCTACTGCAAAGCAGAACTGATCATAAGAGTCGGCAATAGAGCATGTTTGGAATAAAGCATAAATCTCAACCACAAAGTGGGTAAGTTTAATAAGCACTCATTGATGGACTCCCAAGAAACCAAACAAACAAACAAAGCACAAAGGAAATCAAAAACACAATACAAAAAAAACATAAATCCACACGCCAACTAACTTCCAACAGCGGCGGCTGCAGCAGATCTTGCGGATGAAGGTGGCAGATCTGGTGAGTCCATGACTGGAGTTGAAGCGAAGAGAAGAAACACCCCATAAAGGAAGGAGAGGATGGGAGTACAGAGCTTCCAAGTTATGGCAGCTAAACAAGAAAAGGAAAGAGAAAATGGGGGTAGGAAGAGGGGAGAGGAGGTCGAAGGCCGCCGGAATCCCCTCCTCCACCCCGAGAAAGCTGTTTGAAATTCAAGTTCAGTTTTATATGTTCTAAATTTTGATTTTGTATTATTGTTTGAGAAATTTACTGCTATTATGATTCAAGTAGTATAAAAGAAAGAAAAGACTTTTCATAAAGTATAAAAGGATAGAACAAATAAAGTTTATGTTTTTATGTGAATGAGTATAGCAAACATTAAGTTTTAACTTCCTTAAATTCATAATGCTAAATAATGTGAAAGAACGTTTTCGAACTGTTAATAAGTTTTTTTTTTTTTTGTTTTTTGTTGGGACACTTATGGTTAAGCTTACCAACATAAAGTTTGATTGTATGCATGAGATATATGAGCATGTCATTGAATTGTCTAACTTGACTGCTTAATTAAAGAATATTTGTGAATGAGTTTTTTTTCGTGCAATTTATTTTCAATTTAGATTTTATTGCTTTTAGTGAGAGTGTGGGTTGCATTAAGAAAAAGCAATTCAATCACATTAAGTAAAGTGCCACAAGATATACATGGCTTCGTTATACTACCCAAATAGACATTAATGTGCCCTTTTGACACTTCATGTTTGGTAAATAAAGTTATTTTATCACTTTTACAAATGAATTTTCATTTATAATTTTGTTTATTTATTGCATAAAAGATTTATAGTAAATGAACACCATTGAGGTGTACATTATTAAGGAAGAAAGGCAATTAAACAAAAATGTGAAAATCATAAAGATAGTGCAAAATACAAGTTTATTTGCTAAACTCTACGTAAGATATAATACTTGTGAATGCTTCAACAGAATGATGTAGCTGAAAAGTATTATTGTACTCTAATGAATATGGCTAAGAGTATGTTAAATAATTTCTAAATACCCATAACGTCGTGGATGTATATCGTTATGATCTATTGTTTTCATATAGAATCTGGTTCCTAGTAAGGTAGTTTCAAACATTCACTTTGAACTGTAAATAGAAAGAAAATCGAAATATACATGGCTTTTTTATATTACCCAAATAGACATTAATGTGCCCTTTTGACACTTCATGTTTGGTAAATAAAGTTATTTTATCACTTTTACAAATGAATTTTCATTTTATAATTTTGTTTATTTATTGCATAAAAGATTTATAGTAAATGAACACCATTGAGGTGTACATTATTAAGGAAGAAAGGCAATTAAACAAAAATGTGAAAATCATAAAGATAGTGCAAAATACAAGTTTATTTGCTAAACTCTATGTAAGATATAATACTTGTGAATGCTTCAACAGAATGATGTAGCTGAAAAGTATTATTGTACTCTAATGAATATGGCTAAGAGTATGTTAAGTAATTTCTAAATACCCATAACGTTGTGGATGTATATCGTTATGATCTATTGTTTTCATATAGAATATGGTTCCTAGTAAGGTAGTTTCAAACACTCACTTTGAACTGTAAACAGAAAGAAAATCGAACTTAAGACACCTGCATGTTTGGGGTTGTCTACAAAATTAAAATTATTGATCCACATGAAAAGAAATTAGGTTTTAGAATAATCAGTGGTTATTTTGTTGATTATCTTGAAAATTCAAAGGGTATTAGTTTTACTATCTTGGCCATAGTACAAGAATTGCAGAAACCGATAATATCAAATTCAATAAGAATGTTGAAATCAATGGGAGTGATAAATCATGAAATATGATTATTCAATAAGTTTGGGTACAAGTATTATTACTCATAATTTTGAAGGAAATTGTCGTTCTTATAGTTGTTAAACAACTTAATGTCTTAGAATAACAAATGAATAATCAATTACTCCATAATGTAATTATCACCAATGAAAAGTTGCAGAAAAACCACAAGAAATAATATTAAGAAGATCTCATAAAGCAAATAGATATGTCACTTCGAATGATTATGTCGTATATCTATAACAATCTTATTATAATATTGGGATAATTGAAGACTCGGTTTTAAGCCACAAAAAGTATTGATTCTACTAAATAAATTGATGTCATGAATGATGAGTTGAAATCAATAGACCAAAATGAAATTTGGGATTTCATTGAATTGCTTAAGGATACAAAAATATTTATTGTTCTAAGGGTAATATTAAATGATATAATGCTAGATATGTAGCCAAAGATTTTACTCAGAAAGTAGACATTGATTATAATGAGATATTCTATTTTCACTTGTATTTTAAAGGGCTGATTTAATAATCATTATGACATTAATAACTTATCATGATATTGGGTTGCATTAAATGTATGTGAAAATTAATTTTCTAAAAAAAAGTTTAGGTGAAGAATTTTGTATAGATCAACTCAAAGTTTTTCTAGGAAAATGAAAATGTGACTTGCAAACTTAAGAAATCAATTTGTGGACTTAAACCAGCTTTTTTAAAATTGTATCTTAAGTTTTATGATACTATTTTTCATTTGAATCTAAAGAAAATATTTTTTTATTAGTGTACATATCCAAAGATCAGTGGGAGCAAGTTTATATTTATGATTTTGTATGTTGATGATATTTTGCTTGTCAATAATGTACATGATTTATTGCATGAGTTAAGAAATTCCTCTTTAAGAACTTTGAAATGAAATATATTAATAAGACAACCTATGTGATAAAAATTGAAATATTTCTAGATGAATCACATGAATTGTTGAGATTGTTTCAGAAGATATATATTAAAAGTTCTATAGAGATTCAGAATGAGAGAATATTCACATAAAGTTATCTATGTTTCGAAAGGAAATAAGTCCAGTATTATGCAAAAAAAAAAAAAAATTATAAAATCAATTGGAATGGAAACTGAGAGAGAGATTTGCGCCGAACGACTGGCCGATCTATACCAACACTGAACATGGTGTTGGGCCTCAAAGGGAGAGCTTAGGGCGCTGAGACCAAATTGGATCCGTATTGAGTGCGGCGGAACATCGAGTTAGGATTGATTAAGATACACTTGGCCGAGCTGAGGCAGAACATGTTGTCAAACCGACCTTGGCCCACACAGATTACAGTGTTGGGCCGAGCTTGGACGAACAGGCCCACAGACCGGACTGAGGTTGTAGTTGACCGAGTTATAGGTGGACTTGAGGGCGTAGTGTGAGGCCGAGATGCTGAGCGATGTGTTTCGCGACTTGTCAACTTTGATGGATCAATTTGATTTTGCTCGGCTATGGCTGTCCATTATAATGTCTGTCTCTCAAGCAATAGCTCAGTTATGTAAGCTACCTAGACCAATGGTAAGAAGAGGGAAATCCACTTCTGGTATGTGTCAATACCATTTGGCGGTTCGACAAATATTGTTTGGAGGTTTTGGTCTCTACACGTATAAGAAAGGTAGAGGGGAGCATAGCCACCTGCCTAGAGAAGGACAACAGAGGTAGTGCGCCCATAATCTCTGAGGATGCATGGCTAGCCTTGAAAATGAAGAGCAGGCAAACGTTAGTGGTAAGCAACTTGAAAGAATTTCCAACTCTATCATTCTTTCTCTACATTACTATTAATATTCTTCTTCTCTCCCAAGTGTGTTGACTTGATTGTCGGAGGGTTTATCCAGCAGCACACCACCGGACAGCTCACCATTTCTCTATTCTCAGGTTAAGCAATGCTACGTGAAGCTTGGATTCAAGGAGTACAGAGAACGGAAGATATTTCTTTCCGTACAATTGGCGCCGTCTGTGGGAACATTTTGACAGACAAACCTTGCTCTTCAAGCTATTTCAGTCGTTTCCCATGGTAAACAACGACGAAACACCGTTGTCCGTTGTCGACGGTATTACACCAGAGTCTATCTAAAGGAGAGATGGCCCTTCCGCTATTCCGACCATGGCGGGCCTAGAGACCTCTTCCAGAGGCGCACAAGACAAACGCGCAAGGAGTACTGAACATTCAAAAAGTCTCGAGGGTCACCGACGGCAAGGAGAATCACATGCTCAACGCCTGGAGCACAAACTCAGAGACCAAGACGCCCTTATTCAGAAGATGGTGACTGAAATGAAGACGTTAAAGTGCCAAATCAAGGGGAAAGGTGTTGCTGGAGTGGGCGACCACGGTGAGCGCACCCCACCCCGTCACTCTGGCAATCGTCACCAACATGGGACACCCTTTCTTTCTATCACCAAAAGCTATGGAGTTGGCAACTCTAACCCACCGGTGAAGAGATCTTACACGTGTGACAACAGTTACCGTCTCTCGTGTCCATCGACGACGTCGAGATACTCTTTCTCCGCCCATTCGGGGGACCTGAGGGATGTGCTGGAGAAACGAGCTCGCCATAGAAAGACACAAAGATTGCCAATGCTGCAAAGGCTGAGTCCCTAAATCCATTGTAGTGAGGAAGTGGCTATACCAGTGCCTAGAATGGTGGCCCCAGCACCAATAGACAGAGAGCTAGCAAGACTTACCGCTACCCCACTATCCCTAGAGATCGAGAGCACACCACTCCCTACCAGATTCCACCAACCTAAGTTCACGCTATACAACAGCAAGACGGATCCGTACATGCACGTTAGTCATTACCGGCAAATGATGGCTGGCCACCGGCGCAACGACGCCTTGATGTGTCTCATATTCCTTGTAAGTTTGGGAGAACTGGGCCTAAAGTGGTTCGAAAGGCTCCCGAGGGGGAGTATCGAGGGCTGCCAACAACTAGCGGAGGCCTTTGTCACCAAGTTCAAGACCAATACTCGAACACCGAAGGAGGTTGACCACCTCCTGAGCGTCAAGTTGGAGTCGAGTGGTTCTTTGAAGGCATATAATACCAAATATTGGGAAACCAATAATGAGATCCTCGATTGCCCCACCAATTTGGCGATTGCCCAATACAAGCGAGGTCTACCAGTCAGGAATAGGCTACGAGGCTCGCTCACAATGCATCAGCCCCCAACCATGGAGTCCTTAACGCAGTGGATCAACGAGCACATCCGAGTTAAGGATGATACTGCCACTACCGCCACAATCGAGAAGGCAAATTCAGTTATAGCGAAGAGATGGGTGGCTGGAAAGGTTCACTCGGGCCCAATACAAGCGAGGTCTACCAGTCAGGAATAGGCTGCGAGGCTCGCTCACGATGCATTAGCCCACAACCATGGAGTCCTTAATGCAGTGGATCAACGAGCACATCCGAGTTAAGGATGATACTGCCACTGCCGCCACAATCGAGAAGGCAAATTCAGTTGCAGCGGACAGATGGGTGGCTGGAAAGGTTCACTCGGTGGGGCAGGAGGATAACCGCCCTAATAACTGAGCTAAAGACCAACATCGCGGTTCAAACCGCAATGACAGAAACAAAAGCCGCGGAAATGACCCAGCTAACGCTCCTCGCAGCGAAGAGGAAGATACCAAGAGGAAGTTAAAGGTACGAACCGGCATCACCACTATCTTGAAGATCCCAATTTATCGCATCCTTAGTGAAATCCAAGGTGAGCCATACGTGTATTGGCCGGCCAAATTGGGAGACACGCAAAGAGACTTCAAGTCGAGATACCACTGCACCTTCCATGAAAAAATGGGGCACCGAATGAAGGGGTTCGTGCCGCTCAAACAACACTTGGATGAGCTAGTTGCGGCTGGGCACTTGGATCAATACATTGACAGGGGTATGTGGGCCGCTCCACAAGGGCAGGCCGAGCCAAATGGCTTTGTCGTCCTGGATGCAGCACCCCAAGGAGTAATCAATGTTATTCACAGAATCATCGAACCAACACGGGTTTGCGAGCTGAGGGAGATGATCAAGAAGACCAAGCACATAAGGGAAATGCTCTCTGTTCAGCCTGCCGTGAATAAATGGAAGATTGAGATAAAAGACGTCTTAACTTTTTCAAGCAAGGACTTGGAAAGAATTCAAACGCCTCATAATGACGCCTTAGTTGTGACTTTTCGCATCAAAGACTTCGACATCAAAAGGATATTGATCGACCAAGGGAGTTCGGTCGAGATCATAAACTACGATGCATTCAAGCAAATGAAGTTGGAGAACAAAGACCTGGCTCCAGCAACGTCTCCTTTGGTCGGTTTTAACTCGCAACCAGAATGGTCGATCGGAAAGATCATATTGCCAGTCAAGGCTGGGTCAATCACAAAACAAGTTGAGTTTTGGGTGCTAAAAGTCCTATCAACCTGCAACCTGATCTTGGGAAGGGGCTGGTTGCACGCCATGCAAGCAGTAGCATCGACTTATCACCAGGTCATGCACTTTTCTGCACTAGCCGGGCAAGTAGAAGAGGTTTGAGGGGACCAAGTAATGGCAAAACAATGCTTCGTAGCGGTAAATGGCAGTCGGGCTGCCAAAAGCTTCGTCCAAATAATAGAAGGGCTAGAAGGAAAAGAGGTCCTGGAAGATGTGGGAAGAAAAGCCGAAGACAAATCGGTTGAAGACTTGGTGGAAGTGCGCATTGATGAGAATGACCCGAACAAATTCTTCCTTTTGGGATCATTTTTGTCCAGTGCCGAGCGGCTGGATTACGCGAATTTTTTGTTTCCAACATCGAAGCCTTTGCGTAGACGCCTTACGATATGCCTAGTGTCGATCCTTGCTTCATCTGCCACCAATTAAATGTCTTTCCTAACGCATGACCGGTCATTCAAAGAACTCGGCGCTCGGTCTTGCACCATGCCGAGGTAGTGTCAGAGGAGGTCAAAAACTTATTGGAAGCTAGGGCAATAGAAGAAATGTAATACCCTAGATGGATCTCTAATACGGTGGTAATACCGAAGAAAAATGGGAAATGGTAGGTATGCATTAATTACAAGATGGTCAACCGTGCCTGTCCAAAGGATAGTTTTCCATTACCAAGAATCGACCAGCTGGTGGACCTTACTGCTGGACACCAAAGGTTCAGTTTTTTAGATGTATATTGCGGCAACCACCAAATAGCCATGTACGAACCAGACAGAGAGATCACATTGTTACCACACCCAGGGGCCTGTACTGCCACAAGGTCCCTTTGGCCTCAAGAACGCCGGGGCGACTTTTCAAAGAATGGTGACCAAAATGTTTGCCCCTCTGTTAGACCGTACTATGGAGGCTTACATTGACGACATGGTGGTGAAGAGCAAAGACAAGTCTCAGCATCTCATCGACCTAGCTAAAATTTTCACTATCTTCAAGTTGTTATTGAATGCATCCAAGTGTGCTTTTGGGGTGAGAATTGGAAAATTTTGGGGCTTTTTAGTTACCAACCGGGGAATTGAGGCCGACCCTTCACAAATTAGGGCAATTCAAGAGCTGGAATGACCAAATTCCATAAAGGACATGCAACATCTTGCTAGAATGGCGGCCACACTGAACATATTTATCAATCGGTCATCAGATCATTGCAGACCCTTTTTCAAGACTTTGAACGCCAAGTTTTTCTGGGATGAAGAGTGCGACCACGCATTGGCAGATCTAAAGGCTTATCTCACCTTGGCCCCAATCCTGGTCACCCCAAGGCCAGGCGAAGAGTTATATCTCTATTTGGCAGTTTTTCAGCACGCGGTTCTCGTCCATGCTGAGGGAATTCAGCACCTACACTGCTCCCGACTGAATCGAGATATCTTCCGCTTGAAAAATTGGCTCTAGCTCTCACGATGGCCTCCAGGAAGTTGGTGCACTATTTTCATGCCCACACAATAGTAGTGTTGACTGAATTTTCACTCAAGGTGCTCTTTGAGAAGGTAGACTTCACTAGCAGATTTTTGAATTGGGTCGTAGAGCTGGAACAATACGACATCAAGTTCCACCTGCGCACAGCTATCAAAGCTCAAGCCCTTACTAACTTCGTGGCGGAATTTGCCCCTGGCACACACCCTGTTTGCCCTGTTGATTTGGCTAGCGCGGACTTGGCATAACCCATGGTTTCAATAGCAGAAAAAGATGGTAAGAAACAAGTAATAGAGCAGCAAAAAGATACCGGTCTAGCGATGGAAGAGCAGGTCGACTTACTAACCAACCTAACAATTGGGCTAGCAAAACAAGAGAAAGCCGACTTGCCATCCGACCCAATGAATGACGGGTAAACTGCGCACGGAACCAGCCAGTGCCTTGGATTTGAGAAACTCCCAAAATCCCTCTGATTGCTGGAAGTTGTTCATTAGTGAGATGTGGAAGCTTTTCATTGATGGGGGCCTCTAACAGACACGGCGCCGGGCTGGGGGTCGTGTTGACATCACTAGATGGGTTGACCATTGAACATACTGTCACACTTGGTTTCCCGATATCCAACAATGAGACGGAGTATGAAACCCTCCTCACTAGACTAAAGAATGCTTTAAGAATGAAGGCATCAAAGCTTATGGTATTCAGCGACTCCAAGCTGGTAGTCAATCAAGTCTCTAGAGAGTATGAGGCCAATGATGAAAGGATGACCAAGTATCAAGCGCTGGTTTATGCAGAAGTCAAAAAGTTTGCCGTGATAAGAGTGGAGCATATTAACCGCAAAGAAAACAACCAAGCCGACAAATTGGTTGGCCTAGCATCTATGCAGACGAATTTTTCCAATCCGTTGATAATTGAATTCTTGCCCCGACCAAACATTGAGGAACCAGAGGCGTCCGAGGTACTTTGCACGGACTTGGGACCGTCCTGGATGGATCCAATCTTCACCTTCCTAAAAGATCAAATTCTGTCCACTGAAAAGAAGGAAGCCAACAAGATCAGGGCCAAGTCAGAACGATTCTAGCTCTCTCCTTCTGGTGCCTTATACAAGAAGTCTTTTACTGAGCCATACCTGAAATGTGTCCACCCCAGCAAGGTTGAAGCTTTCCTCTTTGAGATTCATGAGGGCATCTGTGGAAGCCATATCGGAGGCAGATCTTTGGCATACCGAGCTATCTCCCAGGGTTATTGGTGGTCATACATGTAGGCTGATGCGCAGAAATATGTTTGTAAATGCGAAAAATGTCAAAAATTTGCTCACCAAACCACCAGCCGGCCAGAGAGTTACTCCCCCTGACAAGTCCTTGGCCATTTTCACTTTAGGGGCTGGACATTGTTGGACCGCCTCCAATCGCTCTAGGCAACCGTAAATTTTTCATCGCTAATACTGACCATTTCACTAAGTGGGTAGAAGCTGAGCCATTGGCCACCATCAAGGAGAAAGATGAAAAAAGTTTGTCTGGAAGAACGTCATCACTCGTTTCGGTATCCCGAAAGCCCTTATTTCAAATAATGGCACACAGTTCGACAAAAAACTCTTTCGCAGATTTTGCAAGGAGTTAAAGATTGAGTTTTACAACTTTACACCGGCCTACCCTCAATCAAATGGTTAAGCCGAAGCCTTAAACAAAACTATCTTGGACAGGCTGAAGAAGCGATTAGAGAGGGCCAAAGAGAGGTGGGCTAAGGAACTCCCCAATGTGCTTTGGGCATACCGCACTACGCCAAGACGCTCGACTGGGGAAACTCCGTTTGCCTTGGCTTATGGCATGGAGGCGGTCATACTATTGGAAATCGACATGCCAACCATCCAATCTGAAAGTTTTGAACCAGACTCAAATAGTGAGGTTGTAGCCCTAGAGCTGGACCTAGTTGAAGAAAGAAGGGAGCAGACACTAATTCACATTGCGGCCTACCAACAAGAGCTCTCCAAGAAATATAACAAGATTGTGCATCCTAAGCTATTCAAGATAGGAGATTGGGTCTTAAGGAAGGTGATGGGAAAAATAGTAGTCCCTGGAGAGGGCAAGTTAGGAGCAAATTGGGAAAGGCCGTACAAGATAACCGGCCTTGCTGGCAAAAGGGCATACCATCTGGAAGACTTAGACGGTAAAGCTGTCCAAAGACCTTGGAATGCGGCCAACCTCAAGCTATTTTACTTTTGAAATGTAACCTTTTCTCCTTTATTTTTTAAAACCTGGCCTTTTTCCAATGGATGTAATATGTGATATGGAATAGAAAATGGCCACTTCTTTCCCTTATGCTATGCGTTTTTGTACAAAAAGTATTAAGCTCGGTGAGTACGAGGGGTAATGCCCAAATCTGGCTAACTTTACTTGCTCACCATTTCCGAGCTGAGTTTGTCCATCTGAGGAAAAAGTTGGTGTTTTGCCCAACTTGTATTGAAACCAAGCTGACCTTGCTCGCCTGCTCAAATAGTTGGTGTTGTGCTCAACGAATGTCTTAAACCGAGCTGAGTTTTGCTCGTTAAAAATGTTTGATTCCCCAAGCTAATTTTGCTCGTTAAACCGAGCTAATTTCGCTCGCCTTAAATTGAGTTTGCGATTTGTCCAACTCCTGGGTTGTTTTTACCCTCGAACCGATTTTTACCCTTGAACCAAGCTGATTTCGTTCGTTAAAAATGTTTGCGTCCCCGAGCTGATATTGTTAGTTTGCTCGAGCTGATTCACTCGCCTTGAAACAAGTTTGCAATTTGTCCAGCTCATGGGTTGTTTTTACCTCCACCAAGCTGAATTTACTCGCCTGTAAGGCAGCTATGCTTCCCTAATTTTGAAATGAAACTTTACATTTGTGCGCATTTGAAAAGAAATCAGCTAGGCTAAATAGGGATCATCACGATTGGAATACTACGAGAAGATCTTTATCTTGGCTGCATGTAGATTCAATTTGATGTTGTGATACCGAATAATAAGTATCTTGGCCAAATTGAAGAAAATGACAACAACAAGGCAGCCAAAAAGTTCAAATACATGGCAAGCAAAAACTTCATCATTTTTCATCCATGACAAAGTTCGATTACAAAAGTAAGGTTCGTAGCCCGGTTACAAAAAAGAAAAAGAAAAAAAAAAAAGATCAATCCAGTTCCACAATGTTGGCTTGGTCGGTCACTTCATTCTCAGCATCTCCTTCACCCATGTCGGGCACCAGATTCTTCTCCTGCTCGGGCTCTTCTTTGGCTTGGCAGCCTCTTTCTTCAGAAACCTCAGAAAGGTGGTTTTGATCAGCGTGTTGCATAGTGAAAGCATCCGCCGCAGCTGCCTATTTTGCCTCTTCTATCAGCTTCTGTTGCACGGCACTGGCGTACGCTTGCATGTGGACCGGAATGAAGGCGGCTGGAGGATTTTTGAACATATCAGAGTCTTGCCCAAGGCCAAGTTTTTCCACGGCAGTTTTCCAGCCGCATTGGAAAAAGATGTCCTTGGTTCCCTCGACTTGCAGTTCGTAGGCTTTTTCACCCTCTGTATAGCCACAATCTTCAGAGTCGTCAACTTGTTTCTCCAGCTCGGCCTTATGCGCTTCCCGCAGCTTGCGCAACTCGACAATATATCTGGTTTTGGTCGCCTGCAGCGCAT